TATCGCCCTTGGAACAAAATCAGACGATGCATGCATCACCCTTATATAGAACAAAATAGTTGATAGTTTAACACATTGCTATTGTTGTCATGTGTTTTTAAACCTGCATACACTTCACTTGAAAACAAGAGGACATATATATGTTAACAGCAAAAAGATATTAGGGAGTTCACATTCGAATTGGCGAACCAAATATAAACAAAATGAATCAAATTTCGATAATATTAGACAAACTCAGAAAAAAAAACCCAGCCTAGGCCGGTTTGGGCCCTCGCAACAACTGAAGAAATCGGTCTAGGCCGGTTTTGAAACCGATCTAGGCCAGTTTTGGAACCAATCTGAGCCGATTTTGGTTGTCCGACTGTATCTCAATCCTAGTTCAATGGGGATTGCTCCAATCTCGTGGGAATCTTGCAAAACTTGTTTAGAAAAGGTTTTCTACCGAAATAAGACCACCCACTCTATATATATTAGAGGATCACGGCCGATCGAGGTTAACCACACACAAGTGATAAAAAAAATCAAACTACTATACTCTTTTTTCCTACCTTTAGCTCTTCAAATCCTATGCTATCTGGCACTTCTCCTGACAATATTTTTTAGCGTTTTAGATGGTCTTGACTACCCTACGGCTACTCTTTTATGTTCCTCCTGACGAGTCTTTTTGGAGGTGTTCGTGGGCCTTTCGGATGAAGAACGAGCGTCAAATCTACATAACTGACTTGTTGGTTGGACTCGTTGTGTGCATAGGCCGTGTGCGGCCTCGAGAGATCTAGCTCTAACTAGTGTGTGATCAGATTTCGCATCAATACTATAAGAATTGAAATAATAGGTTTTGGAAGATAGTTTGGATCTCATTCTTTTCTTTTAGCTGATTTATAAAATCCTTAGTAGATCAAACAATACCAAGCTAAGGTTTTATAGTTGTGCTCCATTACTCTTAAGCTCGATGAGGGCAAGTTGCTCTGCTCTCACATATGTGCACGATGTGAGGCAAAGTTCCTGAAGGCAAATCTCCTATTTGAAGTAGAAATCGGACTAAGAGATCATAATGCAGTGCAAACTATATAACGAGAGCTGAAGAGATTAAGTTGGTGTTTGGATAAATATAAGAATTGAAATAGTCCAGGGAGATACTGGACTATTGAAATCTGAGTGATTATATCGTTGTTATCCACAAAAGAATGATAGGTGTTTGGATGCCATTCTCTTTCTTTTAGCTGATTTCTAAATTCCTTAGTTGATCAACATCACCTAAGGGTTTATGGAGCTACGCTCCATTAGAGTAACTCCAACAGCTTGGCTATTCTTGTTTTGGAGGCTATTTTAGAATTTATATAGCAAAAAGTTGGCTCCAACAGATGTAATATCTGGCTCTGTAAAATAGAAATTTGGTTATCCCTTGATTTTATGTGGCCATATAAAGTCAACCATGGACGCTAGCTATCTGAAGATAAGAAAAAACAAAGCTGTTACAGACCTCTTCTTTTTTAAGGAGTTTTCTATTTTACAAATTAGCTAAACTATAAAATTTAACTAGTAATTTTAGTCAAACTGTTGTTGGAGTTGCTCTTACTCTTAAGCACGATGGGGCAAGTTCCTATGCTCCCACATATGTGTGAGCAAGAGGTTCCTAAAGGCAACTCTCGTTCGATGGAGCGTGTGTGGACTTCATTCTCTGAGCTACCACTGTTTAGAGTTATTTCTTACGCACACGCTTTTTTCCACATGGAGAGTTGCTTTTCATGGAAAAAAATTGAGTACGCCCGTACCCGGCGTTGTGCAAACTGCCAGCCACGGCGCAACACGTGGACGATACTGCTGGTGCTTGCTCTCTGTGTCCACGCGTCGTGCCATGGTTGGCAGTGCGCACAGCACCCGGTACGGACGGGTCGTACCCAAATTTTTTTCCCTTTACAAAAATGGAAACTTGGCAAATGGCAATACCAACGAACGGACAACGGGAATCCGGGCAAAGGAGGACAACCGCCATTTCCGTTGTCCACGCATGCAGCATACAGCCAGCCCCGCCACCCATCTCGCGTACTTATCTCCTCCTCCTCCCCCCCGTCCGAGCAGCCCCTCAGCTCATCAGCGCCCCTCCTCTTCTCACCAGCCTCCTCCGACGAGCAGCCCACGTAAATTGCACCGAGACACAGGTAATAAAGCCACCAGCCATGGCTGCAGGAATCTGCGCCCTGGTCCTCCTCCTCGTCGCGGCCGTCGCGGCGCTCTTAGCCACACCGCCTGCGGCCGTGAACGCGGCCACGCTGGCGGAGATCTGCAAGGGAACCGCGTTCCCCGACATCTGCACCAGCACGGTGGGGCCGGAGGCGGCGAGCAACCCGGTGCTGGACCCGATGGCGGTGCTGCGGATGCAGGTGGACGCGTTCAACCAGCGCACGGAGGCGGCGAGGGCGCACGTCAAGGAGGCGGCCCTGACGGCGTCCCCCAAGGCGCGGACGGTGCTAGACCTGTGCAACAACCTGTACCTGGACGTGGAGGACAACCTGGGGGCCTGCCGCCGCGCCATCGGCTTCAAGGACGCCGTCACCATCCGCGCCACCATGGGCATGGCGGCGCAGGACATGCAGAACTGCGACGAGCAGTTCAGGCAGATCGGCGAGCCCAACCCCATGGAGCAGTTCGACGCGTCGCTCGTCGAGATGTCCGAGAACTGCCGCTCGCTCTCCAACATGATCTGATCTCCTTCGATCTCCACGGACGACGACACGCCCGACCGTCGTTGGGCCCTAGCTCGCACCTCGCATCGTTGCCGCCGCTGCAGCGTTGCACGCGTGCCCGCGCGACATTGATTGATGCGTTCAGTTTTTTTGCTTTGGCCATCTCACATTATTATTTCCTGTAGAGATGTGTTAATTTGGTCTCGGAAACGGGGAGGCGAATTGAGGTGAAATATTTATATATGATTCAAATTGGAATCACAGTTTTGGTTCTAGAAGAGGATCATCTGATCATGCTGTTGTACTCTCTTTTCCTCGTCCTGAATTGACCATTTAGTATCTGTGATATGAAGAGATTTAGCAATTATAGTATATACTCCACGGGGGCGAAGCCAGCTAAAAAATGACCCTGGAGAACACTCTATTGAATATAAAGGATCGGAGCGTATACATTTCTAAAGGAAATATATGAAATAGGTATTAACAAATTTTTGCTTTACCTGGTGCACATGTACCAGGGAAAGTTAACGTGGCTTCGCGCCTGATACTCCATATATTTTTTTTTTATCTCGTAAATAAAGATACATAAACCTCTACAAACATTGTCCTTTATCGATTCTGATTTCTCGAACGCAATACAATGCAAATGATCAAGGACAACCAAACAGGTAGGATCTTGCAAAGCCTAGTCCAGTGAATAACTCATAATAACACATTTGCATGCACTACACCATAGCCAAAAAATAATGTTAGACAACAGCAGTAACGACAAACGATTGGTCGGTACAAATCTCGAACATATCATGGGTAGCTATTTCTATTTGTATCGACTTCTCATCGTACATATTTAGAATTGTCGTCGGAGGATTGGTCAGTAAAAATAAATATTGGAGTGTATTGTCTAGCTACATGCTTTAATATAACCAATATTGATAGCTATAAATATTTCTGTGGCCTTAGAGTACTCTCAATAATAGAGTCAATTTGCTAGCTCAAATGATTTTTTTTAAAGATAAAAATAGAGTAACATATAACAAGTTAATATAGAAAAAAAATATGTAAGCATAGACACACGAATCATAGGGTGTGAGCTCTTCATGAAGAGCCAGATTATCATTCTCTCTTCTTATTATCAAATAAAATATGTCATGAGCTAACTCTTTTGACACTGTTGGAGCTGCCCTTATAAGGGCCAATTTCGCAAGGCTCTGCCTCCTTCTAAAGGGGCTCCACTTTTGGCTCCTCTTATGGAGCAACTTTTTTGTGGACCGAAGCCGCTTTAAAAAAAAATAGGCAAAAACGGCACTAGTGATAGTTTCGCAATAATTTGTATGAAGTTTGTGAGGAGTCGGGAGAAGCCAATTTTGCAGCTCTAGCTCCTTAATGAGAAATGGCTTTAGCTCCTTCAGGCACTTTGCAAGGAGCCATTTTTTTATGACCGTTTAGAAGTGCTCCGTGCAAGGAGCCACAAGAAATTGCGGCTAAAATTGTGCCAAAAGGGGCCTAAGTAGGAAGGACTATAGATAAATATAGATATAGATTTATGGCCATGATTTTACTTCTCATCGATGAACATGCTAAAAAGTTCTAAGCCTTGAAAATTTGACTTTATCAAGATATATAATAGAACAATTGCACGACACAAAATCGAAGACGAGAAGGAGCAAGGTTTTCTAAAAACATGTTATGTTACAAGAAAACTTTATTTCATCAGATTTTTTTTCATAACCTAGGATATGTCATTTTATCGGAGGAACTGTATTCTTTTGTTCTCTTTTCTAGTGATGGTGATTTTTTAAAACTGGTAGTGACGAAGAATTTTTTTTTTAAGAATTACACCATACAACGTACGTCTAACACGCCCGGACACTTGGGGGCGTACATACAAGACGCAATTGTTTCTCGAAAAAAAAAGGTACAAGACGCAATTTTCTTTATCCCGAGAGACAAATTGAGGCTAATGGCCCAGTCCGCAGTAGCTTTGAGAAAGCATAGATGGGCCATACAACATGTGGGCCTACAGCTCTACATATATATTTCCAAATCTCGGAATGCAATAGTTGCTCAAAAAAAATCTCGGAATGCAATTTAGCGGCCTAAAAAAAAGGAAAAAGAAAAAGAAAAGAAGAATATTTCGATCGTGGTGTGAGCTTTAACTCCGCTTTCCCCGCTAGGGTTTCTCCCCTCTCCTTTTTCCCCCTCCTCCCGCTCCCCTCGGCTCCCCCGACGCCCGGCTAGGGTTTTGCCTCCTTCCCGCCGCCGCCGTTCAGCGAGCGAGACCGAGGGCTAGAGAACGAGCGGTGTGCTTCGCCAGCCATGTCGCTGCGCCCGAGCGAGCGGGTCGAGGTGCGGCGGAACCGCTACAAGGTGGCGGTTGACGCGGAGGAGGGGCGGCGGCGGCGCGAGGACAATATGGTGGAGATCCGCAAGAACCGCCGCGAGGAGAGCCTCCTCAAGAGGCGCCGCGAGGGGCTCCAGGCCCAGGTCCCTGCCCCTCCCTCCGGGGTCGAGAAGAAGGTGAGGATACGCCGCCCGCTCCGCTCTCTGTTTCGATTTCTGTTTTTTTTTTCTTTTGCTGCTGCGATGGTATTCTAGTGTTGGGATTATGCCGCGATTGGACGAGTGTTCAGTACAAGTGTGGTAGATCGGTTCGACTGTTAAGCAATGCCAAGATATTATACTACTCGCCCTTTCATGCTTACTCGTATAATACAAGTTGCAGCTCGGAGCCCGTATGTGACTACTACGAGTATTTGCTGCAGAAGGCTGCATGCATATCTGATTACCTGTCATTCAGAGTGTTTGGTACTTGCCGCCGTACTCTCAGCTACCTTTAGCCTTTTAGTGTTCTGATTCTGATTAATATTGGGTTGAGGACCAGATTAACTCTCAGAAATTAGATTTTAGACGCAGGCTAGTAGTGTTTTGACAAGCGTTTGGTATTGATTTAGATGTACCAGAAGTTTTACTTTATGCTTGTGATTTCTTAGGTATACCTATCATCCATAGCATTCAGAAAATGAAGTGTAGGCATATGGTTCTTAGGTTCTAGATATGCAGATTTTAAGATTTCAGGGTGGTATTTTTCTTGAACATGTTATAGGTGATTTGCCAAGTTGTTAGTGTCTCAAACATATTTTTTATTATTGATTTAAGCAAGATTTCTTATAGTTTCTATATGTCAATGAATGTACACTATCACCTTATGACATGTTCTTGCTGCATTTTAGTTTGTATCACCATGTCTTGATCACTAGACCAAGGAATAGCTCTTGATTTTTAGGGACAGTTTTCTGTTGTGGTCATAATCAGGTGCAAGATCTCCACCATATTATGGTCTTGTATGGTGTTGGTCTTGTTATGTTTTATTATCTTGTTCAGCTTAGAACACTGCATGACTGATGTTGTTTTAATATTTAGAATGAGTTTGCATAGTCATGCTCATCAATTCTTCAGAGTCAGTGCTTACCATGTTATATATAGCTGTGCTGATTTGTTATGTTGATGTACACATTTTGTCTTGTTTCAAAATATGTATCCTCCTGATCCGACATATCTTTGCTGTTATGAGATAACATCATAGTTCTGATGTATCCTTGCCTAATTTCATACCTAAATGATTCAAAATTAAACTGAAGTCACTTGGCTGCCTTTTAGAAGTGAGCTTCACTGTGCCTAAAGATTTGTCACGCTAAATCTTGTTGTCTACCAATGTGGTCAAAAGTGTCAAAGAAATTGACCTTGTTTAACAACTGAAGCTTTGGAGCTATGTTTTTATAGCTACATATGTTTTATCTTTGAATTAACATTATTTTATTTGAATTACTTTTTTGTGCATTGTTAGCCTCATGTGGCTGCTGAAATTATTTTAGTTTTTTAGTGCTTTCTTTGCTTCCCTGGTTTTGACGTTTTGTTCTAGTGTTGTGCTTATTTGCATGTCTGTAGAGTTTTATCACACTGATACCATTTATACAGGTGTCTGTGTTGAATTCTCTTGAGCTGATGTTTTTACTCCTTTTTATGTTTTTATAAGCACGAATTTATATATATTTATTGGATGGTTATTCCAAAGCCTTTTATCTTAGGACCAAAAAAAAAGAAAAAAAAAGGTAGCATGCTGCCATGCTGCTTGTGTCCTTGGCTCCTTGTCAAGCTTATTTTCTTGAGCTTAATGTGGTTGTTGTACAAATGGCTTGCTTCATATCTTGCGCCCAATACTATTTAGGTTGTTTTGATACTACTTGGTCTGATATTTGTGATGTGTTAAATTGGTAGCTTGAAAGCCTCCCAGCTATGGTTAGTGGGGTTTATTCAGATGACAATAACCTTCAGCTTGAGGCCACCACACAGTTCCGCAAGTTGCTCTCTATAGGTACTAACTTGCTCTCTTTCCAGTTGTTTTTGTTTCTTAGTTTGTTTATCAAAGGTGGGCCATTATACACTGTTTGTAAACATTGGTTGAACTTGCAATATTTCTGAACCAGAGAGGAGCCCCCCCATTGAAGAAGTTATCAAATCAGGTGTAGTTCCAAGATTTGTGCAGTTTCTCACCAGAGAGGATTTCCCCCAGCTGCAGGTATGTTGATACAATCTAAATCTTATATCCTGTTGCCACTGGATGAAAATGGATTTCTCATCAGCTTTGTAATTCTCTCATAGTTCGAAGCAGCATGGGCTCTCACAAATATTGCTTCTGGCACTTCAGAAAATACAAAGGTTGTTATTGATCATGGGGCTGTTCCTATATTTGTGAAGCTTCTTGGGTCTGCTAGTGATGATGTTCGTGAGCAGGTATTTATTTAGTCTTTTGGCTTATTTGCTTTTTATTTGCTGTTGAGGAGTGCATGATGTGGACAGTAATGCCCTTTCTCTGTTTTAAAACAATACAAAAGGCTGTGTGGGCTCTGGGCAATGTTGCTGGTGATTCTCCGAAGTGCCGTGACCTTGTTCTTGCCAATGGTGCGTTGATGCCTCTGCTAGCCCAGTTGAATGAGCATGCTAAGCTCTCCATGTTGAGGAATGCCACCTGGACTTTGTCTAACTTCTGCAGGGGAAAGCCACAGCCATCATTTGATCAGGTTTAGACAAAGACTTTTTTATTTCTTTTCTGTAACAATGGTTACCAACTAAACATGTTATTCTTTGGCTGTTATCTAAGCCTGCTCTGTCTTTGGCTGTTATAGACTAAGCCTGCTCTGCCAGCACTTGCACGACTTATCCATTCCAACGATGAGGAAGTTCTCACTGATGCATGCTGGGCTCTGTCATACTTATCCGATGGCACTAATGATAAGATCCAAGCTGTGATTGAAGCTGGTGTTTGCCCCCGACTTGTGGAGCTCCTCCTGTATGTGAAAATGCTGTGTAACAACTACATGTTGATTGCTTTGATAGTTTTTGTTATTTGCACCAGTTTTTTTTTTATCTTTATGTGATTTGTGCTGTTGATAGTTTTTGTTATTTGCACCAGTTTTTCTTTATCTTAATATGATGTGTGCTGATACCACATGCAGCCATCCATCACCGTCAGTGCTTATACCTGCTCTACGAACTGTTGGGAACATTGTCACTGGAGATGATATGCAAACTCAGGTGGTACATTAAGTTTGGCAGCTTTCTATATATCTGGCACACTTTATGTCATCAGTTATCAGAGCTAATTTTGTGTGGATATGATCATTTAGTATGGGTCATGCTATTTCATCACATATAAGTGGTTCTGACAGTTTTTCGTTAATATAGTGGTACCGGATGAACTAATGCACTGTCACAAGCATCGAATGAAGCACCAAAAAGTTACTTGTGACTGCCATTTTATTGAACTTTTCTTCTATTTTTTGCAGTGTATCATTGATCATCAAGCTCTTCCTCGCCTCCTGAATCTATTGACACAGAACCACAAGAAAAGCATTAAGAAAGAGGCATGCTGGACGATTTCAAATATTACTGCTGGAAACAAAGATCAGATACAGGTAACATACAGAAAATCCTATGCCACTAGTTTGTTTTTACATATACTAAGTGGATGACATCAAAATTCTTTAGTGCAATGGTTATGTTAATGAGTTTTCCAAGTGGTGTATTTAGCTCATATTTGTTGACTGGAAATTAGCACCTCTTAACCTCTTGTTAGCATAGTGCTCTTTTATGTCTGTCACTATTGATAATTTATAACGAGTTTTTCACAGATGACCCATGGTCATGTTTCTTTGCTTTCATATGTTCGAAAATGTTAAGTCTTTGATTACTCACTTTGCTATATTGAATTTTTAGGCTGTCATAAGTGCTGGCATTATCGCTCCTTTGTTGCAACTGCTTCAAACAGCAGAGTTTGATATCAAGAAGGAGGCTGCTTGGGCCATCTCAAATGCTACCTCTGGTGGTTCCCATGAGCAAATCAAGTATACTCCCTTGACTTACTGCACTGCCTTTTGGCTTGTGGAGTTTTGTGCAACGCAACTTATGTATGTCTGCTTTGAGCATAATTTAGAACTCGTGTTGTCTTTGCCTAGGTACTTGGTGGCAGAGGGCTGCATCAAGCCATTGTGCGACCTTCTTGTTTGCCCTGATCCGAGAATTGTAACAGTTTGTCTGGAGGGTCTTGAGAATATTCTTAAAGTAGGGGAGCACGACAAGACCATGGGTGGTGCAACAGCTGATGGCAATCTCTTTGCTCAGATGATTGATGAAGCGGAAGGCCTGGAAAAGATTGAGAACCTACAGAGCCACGATAATAATGAAATCTATGAAAAGGCTGTGAAGCTTCTTGAGGCATACTGGATGGAGGAGGAAGATGACGCAATGGCTACTGCTGGGGAAGCTGCTCCCGCTGTTTTTGACTTTAGCCAAGGTGGCAACCCTCCTGCTGGTGGTGGTTTGAACTTCAACTGAATACAGGTTCTCCCAGCCTTACCATGCTCATCATAGAATGTTTTAATTATGTCCAATCTGTTGGACTTGCGGTTCATTGTTTCTGCAAAGGATTAATGGTCCTGATTCCTTTTTGCAGTCTTTAACCAAAAGGGCGTTAATTCCCTCGGCGATGGGCTTGGCATTGGCTTGTCTTTGACAATGTAATGTGGTCGATTCCATGTGTGGGATAATGGTTTGTGCTGGGTCCAATAAGCTCAAGATTCCGAGGGAGATGGGTTAGCATTATTCCCAAGCGAGTCATGGATATCAATATCGCAGGGTCTGTAACAGGATTATAATCGTTGAACATCAGAGTCTCGGTTTTTTTAGAAGGCTACTTTCTAGGGTTTGTGTCATTTAGTTGTGTTATATCTGGCTACTGTATAGCCTGAGTCCAATCGTCCGCAAGGCCGAAAGACATTCCTGAGTGGTGTTCCTCAGGAATGGTCTGCGTTGTAGTTTGTCCGGAGCTGTAAACGTTTAATGGTTTGAGTATATAGCTCGGCCTTGCTTTACTACGGTTAATCCAACCTGTTGAGGCTATATAAATGGCTTTCAAAAAGCTGTTTGCATTGTTGGCGCTTGGTGCAAAAATTTGTGGGGGTGAAATAAGGCTAAAGTTTTGATGCCAAATTCAATTTTGAGTTATACGATTATTTTTTGTAACAGAAAGGTTGGTACAAGGCCCTTTACAACTCAAATCCAACCTATTTCCACTCCACGATATTATGGGTTTTTTATTGACATTTACAAAGAAATATCTCGGTGCTTAGCTGCTTGTATTCCAATCCAATGAACAAAGAAACTTAATAAGAGGGCAAAGAATATAGCCGTAGTGACGGCGGGGTGCTCTTGTCTCTGCGCTGTCTGATGACGTTGGTGTTTCAGTCGTTTCACACGTCGGCGGCCTCCTTGGTGATGAGAGACGCACGGCTGGGTTGCACCTGGCACGGCGCCGCCGTTATCTCCGGCGCGGACGGCACCGGATGAGGGTGTGGCCCGTGTGGGTGCGGCACTGGCGGGCGCAGGTGCTGGTGCTGGTGCTGCGCGCCCGGGTGGGGAGTGCCGTAGCCCACGAAGTGACCGCCGCCGTGTTGGTACTGATGCTGTCCCCGCAGCCGCTGCGCCTGCACGGCCGTGATGTAGACCACGAAGCCGACGACGACGGTGATGAGCCCCAGGATCCCCGCCGCCGCGAACATCCCCGGGCGCACCCGGTGGCACACGGGCCGCGGCTTCCGCCAGTCGCTCATGTGGCCGGACTCCACGGCGATGCCGATCATGAGCATCACCTCGGCGAACCCGAAGCAAATCCTGCGCGCGGGGGACACACAGAAAACACATTGTTGCGTTGCGGCGAGGCCGTCTAATAATTCTAATTTGACGGGAGTTGAGAGTGACCGTCGTCATTATTAATTACCACGTGAGGAAGAAGAGGCAGCCGGTCTGCCAGGTGAGCGCGGCGGCGGTGGACGCGACGCGCGGGTGGTCCTGGGCGACGGCCATGCCGGCGGAGGCGGACTTCGGGGCGGCGACGGCGACCAGCATGTAGGCATGCTCCGCGAACATGGCGACGGCGAGGAGGATGAAGGCGCCGACGGCGTACGCGAGCGCGAGGTGGCCGCTGCTGCTGTAGACGCACACGTCCAGCTGGTCCGGGCTGCCGCCCACGGTCATGAGGTAGTGCGACACCTGCAGGCAGGCAGCGCCACAGCACACGCGTCAGCAACGGCAAGTAGTGGAGTGGAGTGATGAATGAGCTTGCAGCGCCGGCCAGCTAACGTGGCTTTAGACGGTGTGCATGACGGACACGTGCCTCTGAGCGCGACCCTTCGGCGGCGAGGCAGAGGATGAAGGCGACGAGGCCGCAGAGCACGGAGAGCGCGACGAGGGAGACGGCGACCTGGCCGCCGGACCGCGCGGCGCGCCGCTCCTGCGCCTTGCGCAGGGACAGGTCGTCGTGCGTCACGGCCGGCGGCATCGTCGTCGCAGCTGCCGTCGGCGGCACCGCGTACATGGATGAAACAATAATGAGACGGGCACTGAACCTGCTACCGCCCTAGCTCGCTCGGCAGTCTGACTAGGCAACTATGGCTACGACGACGAAGGACCTGCGGCGAGCTGCAGGCCTGGTGTCGGAATATATGGGCGGGGTGGATGCGGCTGGAGGAGGAGATGCGCACGCCGCGAGCGTTGCATCGGCGGAGAGGAAGGAATTGTAGCGCCGAGAGCAACGGGGCTTGGGCGCGGCAGCACGGGAGGAATATGATCCACAGTGGGGATCGGAGTTTAGGGGAGCGTGGAATTCGTCCCCCGTGCCTTGCTGTTAGAGACATTCCGATTCCTCGCTTTCACCTTTCGTTCACCCACCCGGAGCTTCTTTAATCTTCTCCTTTAGCCGCGGCACGGTCCGAGCTCGGCGTCGGAGGGTACGTGCTTTTTTCCGGGAAAGGGACGAAGGCGCGCTAAGACGCGATCGGGCAGTGCGCGCCTTTTGCGCTTTTTTGGGGATTTGCGGGGGTGCCTTCCGTTCCGGAGCATATACAGTCTGGTGTGGAGGCGGAATAAAACACAGAGCAATTAACCAAGGAACAGCGTTTTGTGAGCCGTGTAGGTGTAGCACTTGCAGTCTGAATTGGCCGCGGCACGAGTACAGCCGTAGGCCCGTGCAGTTATCGGGACTGTTCTGTTCTGGTCGGTGCTGGTGCTGGTGCTGTTTTGATCTGGCTGGTGTTGGTTTTTTGTGAGAGAAAAACATTATTGGCTGGCTAGTTTGGGTTGGCTGAAACCAACAAGCGAACGTGCTGATCCTCGGAGAGGGTACACGACCAAACTACAGAGTACCCCATTCGTGCTCATCATGGCACCTTTGCTGGTGCATATATTCCGTTCTTCTTGAAGAAACCGTCCTTTTAATCCGATCGTCTTGTTAAAAGTCATCCGCCAAAGGTTTCGTTGCCTGGCTCCCAAAGCCTACCTAAGGGCCTTTCATTTGCACTAGTTCAGTTAGACCTGGCTTAGCCGCTTAGGAGCCCGTCATGCGAAAGGCCTAGCAAGGTGCTAAAGCCACCAAATACACCCTATTGGCCTATTCACTCCGGAGAAGCTTGGTCTAAGTTTACGGGCCGGCCCAAAAAGAAACAAGATCGTCAGCTGCTCTTGCTCCGGATGCTGTTCCAGCCTTTCAGGTAGTCTTCCATAGTTCCATGGGCCCAGCTCTAACTTCACGCTATCACTAGCTAGTCACTACTGATCTAACCTTTAACTACCAGATTCTAACTGAGCGCTGCTGTCAGTAGTGTGACTTCTCTCTTGACATTTGTGATGAGGATAGAGATGGGTTTGTTTCTGCTGCAGCCTTAGTTTTATCCGCTCAGTTATGGCCCCACACCGTGATTGATTAGCTTCCAGAGGGCGTGAGCATCACTACACCAGCAGTTAGTTGCCCTGTACACTCCTGGACGTGGAGCCTGATGGTAGGTTCCAACAAAATCTAACCCTCACCTCCAACAGCCAGCGTATTGTATTCCGCGTTCCGCCTTCTCGAAATAAACCCTGCCTAATTTATTCATAATCATTCGATTCCTTTTTTTTTTTTTTTGCCAGGAAAGAACCATTCGATTCCTTTTCGAGAATGCGCAAGACAGCTACACGAACTTCTGCACTCGTCTACATAAATAGAGGAAGAAAGAAAACAACCATATAACGATCATCAAGAAATTAATAACAAAAGGCAAACACGGAACCACATAGAAAGTGGCGAGCTAATTACAAGTGGTTTCGATTATATATTCCGTGTCGATCGCTGAGAGGTTGCTAGGGGATGAAGGATGATTGAGTACGCGCGCTTAATCGGCAGGCGGCCGGTAAACATGCCGGGAGCATCGCCATTAAGCCGACAGGGCCCGAAATCATCGAGCGTGTCATGCAAATCCAAATGAAAGGACTTTTTTCTTGGATTCGTGATCTTTTCCTTTCTTGAAGCGAAAACCGACAAAGGCAGAGGCATGCAGAGAGAGGCCCCTTTTCGGACTTGAAATCCGAGTGTACTTTGGCCAAGTTCATTAGTTGGGGCTTCAAACTCTCCCGGAAAGCTGAAAGAGCTGCCTGATAACTACTTTTATCTTGCCGACAATAAATTTTTTTGTAAAGAGAGACTCGTGTATATTGTCAACGGTATCCCTCTGTCCTCAAATAAATCAATTCTTAGAATCCGTATCAGTCAATTTTTTTTTAAATTTGATTAAGTTTATAGAAAAGAATAACAACATTTATGACATAAAATGAACATATTATGAAAATATGTTTTATGGTACATCTAATGATACTAGTTTATATCATAAATCTTGATGTTTTTTTTTCTAGAAATTTGGTCAAAGTTTAAAAAGTTTGACTTGAGACAACCTCAGAAATCTATTTATTCAGGGACAGAGAGAGTACATCGGAAGAAGTCATAAAATGGAAAACAGACTTTAACGGTCAACAGTAACGCATACAGGAGTACTCCGTACAAGAGAGATTGAAAAAGATAAAAGTCTACATTACTTGCTCCAAATTTGGCTTATTGGCTTATGTCTATGATAACCCTCTAAAGTAATGTTTGGTTCGATTTACTTCCTTAAGTATTTTACATTAGTTGCTCCAGTTTATTTTTTGTTTCTTCGCATACAAGTTGACTTCCAATTCCAAAGCCTATGAGTGATAGAGAGCACATCATAATTTATGTTTAAAAATGTGTCATAGTTTTTTCATCATAATTTTGATGTGTTAGGAAATCTAATAATGAATTAACACTAAACATAATGATGAACATTCCATAATGTATTGTTAACATAAAACATGTTGTTATCTATCATCTAACAAAATTAAAGTTAATATTCAATTTGTATGAAAAAAATAAATCTTGTTAAGGGGTAAATTAAACCAACTGCAATTATTAGGAGAGGAAACCGAACAAAATATTAGTTTAGGGATTTATGTGGATATAAGCTAAATTTGGAGGAAGTAATTTGAAATTAATACAACCTTTTATCGGCTCTACGCCCTACCGGGCTACTGCCATGTTCAATGATAGCCTCTATCAGAGATGCATGTGAGCTAATCGGCAAACCATATATTGGCTTTAATCAAGTAACTCACTTGTATCCCTATGTTGTTGCCTTGTTGGCGCAAATTAAGCGGGACATCGGTGGGCAATGGCCAGAGCTGAGTCTGCTAATTATTATGTTGTTTACTTCCCAAGTAATCCATTTCGCTGAGGCGCCTGATTGGTGCAACATGCATAATTGTACTAACTTAGCTTCTTCTACTCCCTCCGCATCATTTTTTTTATGTTTTAGTTTTGTCATAAATCTAACTATTTTAAGTTTAACCAAATCTGTAGAGAAATTTGCTAACATTTATAACACCAAATAGGTATACTATAAAACTATGTTGTATGAAAAATCTAATGATACTATAAATTTGGTTAAATTTTAGATAGTTTGATTTAGGGCAAAACTAAAACATCAATTTTTTTAGACAGTGATAGTACTTAATACTGCACAAAGATGTGCAGCTATCTTCCGTATTTAGAAAAGAAAGGCCATCCTAAGCTCGTGCGGCGTCCTAAGGACACACCAATGCACATGTTGATTTTCATTTTTTTTCCCGTGTCTCTTTACACAAGATTTGCTTCTACTTTAGAATTTGGATTACAACATACTAGATTGTTGCATCATGTATTTATATTTTTCTTTGATCTTCTATGCATTTTTTTTGATTTGTTGTCACAGGAAAGGATGCCGAGAGCACGTGTCATGTGTGGTGGGTCGGTCGGCCACTAGGAAACCGGCCGGTCACCGTTCCATCGCTGGCTCGGTGCTATGCATCGTCTCGTTTGGTCGTCACCACTCCGCGGTGCTATCCAACCAGGAGACTAACTATCTGACTATCCTATCGATCGTACTGGTGCTGCTCACGTTCATCTATATCCCAGAGTCTACCGAACAAACAGAGAAGCAAACGCGTTGTTCGATTATTAGAACCCGGGAATTAATTTATTGTTGACCCGCCCGGGGCGTCAATCACGATCGCACGGGCAGATTAATCTTTGTGGCGAGCCGTTGCTTGCTGGGGAGAAACAAAAAAAAATCGCCTTTTATACGAGCAAACGAAGGCCGTTTTGATTTATGAGCTAGTTGGATGTTTTTTTTTTCTTTTTCGAATCCTTCGTTGGCGCGGTATCATCAGTTACTAGCTTTTGCTCCCGTTCAGACGTGCATGCGGGCGTGATATTAATATGAGTAAAATGTATGGACAGTCTATTAACTTGTGAGGGTGTGTCGATTTGGTTCATCAGGTTTGAAAGTGTCATTCATCTTCGTTTTATGTTTATATTTGTAGAAAACCCCTTGTCTTTATTTTTAGATACATTTTCAGCAGGAACACCTGACATAAGGCTACTGCATCGAGGTGTTCGACGCGGTCACGAGCATGATGCCATATCCTGTGAGCTACGAGTACGTGCCGTTCCCCAGCAGCCCCGAGTCCTACGAAAACCTCGTGTCCCTGGTGCCGGAACAGGTCAGTACACACCAACCAACAAAGATGGTACATACCATGCACGTAGGGTAGGGTGTGTACGGGGTGGTTTCGTGCCAATGATGACTGCAGAGCGCGGCGACGTGAGAATCACGGCGAGCAGGATGGGCATGGTGGACTTCAGCATGCCGTTCACGGACTCGGGGTGGTGATGGTGGTGGCAGTGCGCACGGAGACGAGCACGAGCATGTGGATCTTCCTGCAGCCGCTGACCACCAGCCTGTGGCTCTCCAGCCTCGCCTTCTTCTGCTTCACCGGCTTTGTGGTGTGGGCGATCGAGCACCGGATCAACCCCGAGTTCCGAGGCACACCGTGGCAGCAGTTCGGCCTCATCTTCTACTTCGCCTTCTCCATGCTCGTCTTCTCGCACAGTATGCGCGCACTCATCTTCTACGTGAGGGAGCTCCAGCGGATCAGGGACATCATCGGGTACCA